CAGAGCAGCAGGCAGTATTAATTTTTTGTTTCAAAAGAGATTAGTGGAGAATGTTACTTTTATACACTACACTCAAGTAGCCACGCTCACAATGAAGCATCTTGCAAGTGGAGTGGATGAAATCTAACAAGGTAATGGAAAGAGTTTTTAAGAGGCTGAATCCCTCTATACGTAAGGAGTAGGAAACTCCTACCAATAGCAGTAAAATGAGTTTCATTTAATTCTATCTCAGATATTAATATAATTCAGTAAGTTTAAATTTTTCATTCCAATGCCATTAAAAAAAAATCAAGCTAAATACCTTCTTCAAAGTCTACAAAGATATACGGGATAAATAACCCAAGGAGTAATCTATTTTTTTTACTAGAGAACCTATGGAATATAGATTATCCACCAGCCCACAACTGACCCTTTTGGGGAAAGACATGAATAGGTTCAAGAAGAAAAGTGGGCAAAGAAAATAATAAACATGAATTGAGAGAATTTACCACTAAGAAAGAGTCATTTAGGAAGAAGGAAACTGAACTGAGAGGAAGAAGTGATATACAAATGAACAATGAATAAAGAAACAATATTAACTACCGTTAACAACATAAAACAACAACAATAACTGATAACTGAAGAAGCATATAAACGAGGTGGCACTAAAATGAAAGATGGGCAGTGATGGGAGTCAACATAAAAGCATTTTAAAGCCCTTACGTTCCTTGGGAGAAGAACTAAGATGTCTAATATCTCTAGACAGTTTAGATTTTTTTAAAAAAGCCTTAAAATAGAAACATTACAGGGACAAAGACAGCTACTCATGATCAAAGTAATAATACACAAAAAAGACATAATTCTTAATTTGTGTGTACCTAGTAACATAGTTTTAAAACCTATAAAGCAAAACTTCACAGAGCTATAGGGAAAACTAACAAACCCAGTCATGGTACAAGTTTTCAACACACTTCTATCAGAACTGATAGAGCAAACAATCAAAAAGTTAGTAAGAATAGAAAAGATCTGAACCACATGATTAAATAGTTTGAATTAATGGACCAAAACCATCCACTCAACAAATAAAACACAAATAGATGCGTTATAGAAATTTACCAAATACTAGGCCTGTCTTAACAAATAACGAAGACTTGATCTCTGACCACAGTGAAATTAAGAAAGTGTTATCTGCCCTGGACAATTTTCTAAGTGGTTAGAGCATCAGCCCTCTGACCAAAAGGTCTTAGGTTCGATTCCCAGTAAAGGGCACATACCTCGATTGCAGGTTCCCCAGCCCTGGCAGGGGCGTGTACCGGAGGCAACCAAACGATGTGTCTGTGTCTCTCTCATGTTGATGTTTCTCTCTCTCTCTCTCTCTCTCTCTCTCTCTCTCTCTCTCTCTCTGTCTCCCCCAACTCCTCCTTCTCTTCCACTCTCTTTAGAAATTAATGTAAAAAATACCCTCGGGTGAGGATTATAAAAAACAAACAAACAACAACAACAACAAAAAACCCCCACAGATATCTTAGGAAAAAAGACAGCAAATCTAAGCATCCAATTCAGGAAATTTTTTTACAAATATATTTTACTGATTTTTTACAGAGAGGGAGGGAGAGGGATAGAGAGTTAGAAACATCGATGAGAGAGAAACATCGATCAGCTGCCTCCCGCACACCCCCCACTGGGGATGTGCCCGCAACCAAGGCACATGCCCTTGACCGGAATCGAACCTGGGACCCTTTAGTCCGCAGACCGACGCTCTATCCACTGAGCCAAACCAGTCAGGGTTCAGGAAATTTTTAAAAAGTTCATAACAATGTTAGAATGTAAGAAAGGAAATATATATATATGAGCAGAAAATTATAAATAAAAAAATAAAGACATGCTAAAAAAATCAACAAAAATGAAAAGCTTGTTCTTTGAGCTTCTGGGAAAACTGATCAACAGAAAAGACAAACAAGTTAACAATATAAACAAAGCAACAGTTTTAAAAATAAAGAGAATAATGTGGATAACAGAAACAATAAACTTTAAATTTAGCAAAACTGGCTCATGAAGAAACAGAAAACTGATAGAACGTAGTGACAGACAAGAGATGGGGCCTGGAGGAGATGCTGAGGATGACTTTGAAGTCTCTAACTTGCCAGGTTTATGGATGTGAGCTCCATTTATTCAGGAGGAAACTAGGAGAGAAGCAGTGAAGCAGGTTGGATGTCTTTTGTTAGTTTTGTATGATGTACTGTATACACGCAGGAGGAGCTGGTGCTAGTGGTAGGCGTGGTGTGTGTAAGTTATAAATTTAATGGCTATGTTTGGATATGTTGAAACAGAGGTTCCTTTAAGATATATAAATGGAGATGTTAAGTATGCAATTGGATCTAGGATCAGGAGCTCAGGAGAGATCTGGGTTGAAGATACCTATGGGAGTTACCTGTACTGAAATGATAATTAAAGCACAAGTATGGCTGAAATACCCTAGGCAAAAAGAGCACTGGTTCTCAAATGTGGTCCCTGGACCAGGAACCTAGGGCACCACCTGGGAACTTGGCAGAAATGCCAGTTCTTGGGCCCATCCTGGACCTAGTGAATCAGAAACCCTGAGAATGGGGTCCCACAATGTTATTAACAAGCCCTCTGGTGATCCTGATGCAGGCTAAGATTTGAGAACCACTGATATAGAGTGAGACAGCAATAGGGCTTGGGACCTTGCCTTGAGAGTTCCAACATTTAACAGAGCAGAATGAGCCCCCCAAGATGACAAGGAACAGCAGGAAAAGTGTTTCAAAACAAGTGTTTCAAGAGGTAGAGTGGCAAAGACTACTGAGATACTACTTACCATAGCTCCGGAAAGGATTGGAATGAGCTGAGAAGTAAGCAAGAGTTGAGAAAAGAGAGATGTAAGTACAGACAGTTCTGAGCAGTTTGATCATCAACAGGAGAGAGAGGGTGGAGCTGGAAGATATTGACAAGGGAAGATTTTTTTTTTAATAGAACAGGAATAAGCATGATGAACTGCTAAGGGGAAGAATCTGACTGAGAGACAGAGTGACTGTACAAGAGAGATGGGGAGTGACAGCGATAGCATACTTTAGAGCAGCGGTTCTCAACCTGTGGGTCACGACCCCTTTGGGGGTTGAACGACCCTTTCACAGGGGTCGCCTAAGACCATCAGAAAACACATATATAATTACATATTGTTTTTGTGATTAATCACTATGCTTTAATTATGTTCAATTTGTAACAATGAAATTGGGGGTCGCCACAACATGAGGAACTGTATTAAAGGGTCGCAGCATTAGGAAGGTTGAGAACCACTGCTTTAGAGCAAGCGGTCACCAACTGGTGGTCCACGGACCTCCGTGAGGTCCGAAAGGTTGGTGACCGCTGGTGTAGAGACACGGGCTGTGCAGCTGTCTGCCTCGGCAGAAGGAGCACTTTATTGCCAACAGTGTTTAGAACTGCTCTGCATGGTGACAATAAAAAGCTGGCCAATTTTTTGTTGGTTTTATTATCGCTTTTTAAATTCCTACAGATCCTGTACCCCTTATTGCCAACACCAGAGTGGCCCATTCCCACTGCCCTCTCCTTGTTGTCACTGAATGATAGTATAAGGTTTCTGAAAGGGGGTTAGGGGATGAGACTTACTGCACAGGTGGAAGAACTATCCTTGGATAAGAGGGACACATTACCTTTTTAAGCCAGAAGGAAGAAGGTAAACAGGATGAACACAGATGTGGCAAGTGGGACGGTTGGTAACAGAAAACTGAAGGAATACCATCAATGGGTTCTATTTCCCCCATGAGGTGATCTGTAAGACCATTCCTACTGTGAGACGGCTAGTCACATTCTCCCGGCCTACAGCAATTAAACATTTGATCTGTCACATCCATACTCACTAAGCAACCTCCTATTTGTGATCTGGCTTTGCATGGGGCAAAAATTCTTCCCTCTGAATTCATTCCTTTTTTTAAAAAAAATATTTTTATTGATTTCAGAGAGGAAGGCAGAGGGAAAGAGAGATAGAAACATCAATGATGAGAGAGAATCACTGATCGGCTGCTCCTGCATGCCCCCTACTGGGGATCCAGCCTGCAACCCAGGCATGTGCCCTTGACCGGAATTGAAACCAGGACCTTTCAGTCCGCAGGCTGATGTTTTTATCCACTGAGCCAAACTGGCTAGGGCTGAGTTCATTTCTATATACATCTGTTCATTAAAATATTTTAAACTGGCTGTCACTGCATTGACCAGTGGTTTTTGTAGAGAGGAATTTCCAAGAATAATGCAAGAAACAAAACAAGGACCAATACAATATATTGGTGTATCACCATTATTCATTTACATATTCCATTATTCATTCAACAAATATTTACAGACTATATATCCTGCACAAGGCTCGATATTAGAACTGTGGGGTATACAAAGCTCTCAAGGTATTTGTAATCCAGAAATTAAAAGCAATTAGCTCCACAAAGAACAGGCTTGCAAGAGGGGAATTAGAAAAAAAATCCTTAAAGTAAATATAATTAAAGCAGCAATAAGCTATCGAAGTAAATCCTGAAATCTGAGTGACTTTAAAAATATGACAACTCAGAGACAGAGAGCCTTGCCTGGAAGCAGCCCCTCTGGAATTAAGCACAAAAGTGACTCAGAACTTTTCTGATATATAAAGAATGTGCCAAGCCTGGCCGGGTGGCTCAGTTAGTTGGAGCATCAACCCATATACTAAAAAGGCTTTGGGTTCAATTCCCAGTCAGGGCACATACCTAGGTTGCAGGTTCGATCCCTGATTGGGGTGCATACGGAAGGCAACCAATTGATGTTCCTTTCTTTCTTTCTCTCTCTCTATCTCTCTCTCTCTCTTTCTCCCCCCCTCCTCTCTCTCTCAAAATAAACACAACAAAACAAAAAACATCCTCAGGCGAGGATTTTAAAAAATAATAGTAAAGAACATGGCAGTCTCTTTGCAGAAAAATAAGTCAGGCTTTAAATTAATTTAAAAGTTAATTTAGGGTTCTTACCCCAAAATCCTCAGGTACTCCAGTACTTGAGTTGCCTTGCAATACTGAATCTGTCATTCCTTCTTACTTTTGCTCCCCTTGCTCTCCATCACAGTCTGTGTCCAGGCATAAGTAAGCTGCAGTTTTTCCATGACCTGGAATTTTCTGCCTTTGAATCATATCAGCTATGCACAGATACACTATCACCCAAGCTTTGTGTAAATGATTTGATGACCTTGGGTATTTTAAAAGTGCCTAGCACACAGCAGATGCCCAGTTAGGATTCATTTCCTCCTTTCTTTCCTTCCGTTTTCTTCTCTCCTCTGGTGAGGAAGAGAGGGAAAAACAGGAACCAACAAAAGACAGATCTCCTGTAAAACAGCATTTTTTTGGTGTAAAAATACTGAAAAGGTTTAAACCACTTCTCATTGCCTACCTTGTGTCTGTGGGATGTAAGGAGACAGGAGTTTTGATCTTTTCTTTTCGTATCCCTTCTGTGTGATGTCCCCTAAAATAGCAAGAAACAGAAATACGTTATGCATTATTCTTACACTGTGCTTGTTCACTGTAAAAATAAAATTAATTACAGAGAACTACAGAATTACCACACGGAGAGTAGGGAAAAAACGTATAGTTCTTTGCCAGGGAAAAATTTTGCTATGTGTGATTTTCCACAGACTTGGAGTTGACTTCTTGTGGAAAATTGTAGGGCTTGTCCTTACACTAATCTAGCATAGCAATATGCTGCGTACCATGTCAGATGTTCCTGAGTTCCTAGGTACCCCTCGTTTCCTTGGTATTTAATATATACCAAAATGGAATGCTGCAATTTTTAGTTTGACCAAATGAATGCAATTGATTTGGGAGGCATTCAATTATATTGCTATACAGACCCACATAAAATCAAAAGTCTGGTTAAGGGGAGAAGTCGTGGTTCAGGCACTGGGATGGGATATTTGAAAGGCCCTTTTACACCCTAGTACTTGTGTGAGAACCTGGAGCTGGAACCCCCACGTCCTCTCCCTTCGGTTCACTGGTCTGTCTGTATTACTGATATAAATGTATGTCTTTTTCAC